CAGGAGACACCTCCGCAAGACTCCAGCGGGAGGAGGCCGGCTCCCCCCCGGCCCCTGGGCCACCACCTCCACCAGCCGGGCCCTGCTGGGGAACTTTGAGGTAACTTAAGATGCCCTGGAGGGTGAGGGGGGGGTTTTCCCCTGGGATGCCCGGCAGGCGGCTCTGGGGCAGAGGCTCCTCCTCCTCCTCCTCCGCCTCCGCTCGCCCCAGGAGGAAGGGCAGCTTCGGGTCCTTCTCAGCAGGTGGGTGTTCCTGGGAATTGGACCCCCGGGGAGCCGGCCGAAGGCACCCTCACCCCTTCTCCTCCTCCCAAGGGGCCAGGAAGAGGAAGGGCCTCGGCCCATCCTGTCCGGGGTGGCCCCCCGAGTGGCCTGCGCTGATGCTGAGGCCAAGGGCTCGGACTGCTTCCGGGGAGGGAGAGGGTGGTGGAGGGTTCCTGGAAGGTACCGTCGGCCTGAGGCTCCCTCGACAGGAGAAGAGCCCGCCCGCTCGCCCGCCCACCTGCCTGCCTGCCTGGGGGCCTGGGATAGCTCAGGCTGGTGGGGGGGGAGCCTGGCGTTTCCTCACCCACTCCTTGGTTGCCCTCCTCGCTCTCGAAGGCTGGGTGACCCCTGTCCCTTCTGGATGATCTCCGTCCCTTCCTGCACAGGAGTCCATGCTGAAGGGGCGCTTCCCGCCATCGGGCCGCATCGAGGGCTTCACGGCGGAGATTGGGGCCAGCGGCTCCTACTGCCCGCAGCACGCCACCCTGCCTGTGGAGGTCACCTACTTTGACATAGCGGAGCACAGTGCCCCCTCGCCCTTCCTGGTAGGTGCTGGGAAGTGAGCCGTGGGGTCCTCCCAGGGAGGGTGTGCATGAGAGGAGGGCGGTAGGAAGCAGGATGCGGTCCTGGTGGAACCTGGCTGAAGAACAGCTTCCCAACAGGTTGGGGGGGCAGTGGTTGCCCCTTCCTCGGGTTGGCCATGAGGCAAAACCCAGACATCCCCCTGCACCTTGCCCCCCTCCCTTGCTCCCTCATGTGGGTCTTGGGCAGACTGGGTGAGAAGCAGCTTCCTTCACGCACTTTCTTTCACTATGGCTCAAAAGCAAATCCCGCTGCTTATGGACCGGCCCCATAGCACTTAAAACTTACCTCTGGGTGGTTTCAGTTTTCAATAATGCAGGCTATGCCTTGACACACACACACACACACACACCCCGGCAAGCTGGGTACTGAGTGGGATGGAAGGCTGACTCAGCCTTGATCCGGCTACCTGGGATGGAACCTGGGCCCCGAGCAGAGTTTTGACTGCAGTGCTGCAGCTTAACCACTGTGTCACGAGGCTCCTTAAACTCCTTCCCTTAAGCTCCCTCTGGCCAGACGACTTGCTGTCACCCACCACGTTCACAATCCCAAAGGTCCACAAGCTACCAAGCTGTGACCCGTGGACCCTCATGATCCAGCCGCCTCCTCCTATGTGGTTGCACCCCACCCCACCCCCCATGTCTTCTGCCCCAACCTCATCCCAGGCCTTCCCCCCTTTCTTTCCTGGCCCATTGGTGTGCTCTTTCTCTTTCAGGGTGTGATAGACTTGGAAACCTTGGGAAAGAAGGGTTACAGCATCCCCAAAACAGGCACAATCCAAGTGGTGAGTTAGGACAAGGGGAAGCGAGGAAGAGGGGAAGGGAGGAAGCAAGGAAGAGAAGAAGGGAGGAGTTCAAGTCCTCCACTCGGCACAGCTCTTCCCCTTTCCAAATGAGCGGGAACCAGAGAGGGGAGCGCCCCGTGGCGTTGAGACACAGGGAGGGATGCTGCGGCAGACGAAGCCTTCCGAATGTCTCTTGTCTCTCTCTGATCCATTGGGACTCTCCTCCCGGGGTGGGGTGTTCACCAAGCGTCCCCTCTCTCTCCTCCAACCCCCGCGTGACCGACTCGCTCTCCTGTTCCAGACCTTATTCAACCCGAACAAGACGGTGGTGAAGATGTTCCTGGTGACTTACGACTTCCACGACATGCCTGCCAACCACGTCACCTTCCTGCGCCATCGCATCTTCCTGGTGCCTGTGGGCGAGGAGGAGCAGGGCCCCAGCCAGGCCTCTGCTGAGCTGCCGAGGAGGGTGCTCTGCTACCTGATGCACCTGAGGTAGGGCCCATGAGATGAGGGGGAACATGAGGTCGGGAGGGGGGGTCCACACCATCCAGTGACTCTTGGGTGAGGGTGAGGGTCTTAAGTCCTGGGCTCCTTTCCTTGGCTTTCCTGCTGCCCACCAAGCACTGCTGACTGCAGGAGAGGCCTAGGCAGGAGCTGTCCTTCCTTCCCAGAGGCTGAGTCCAGGCGGCTGCCGGCTGCCGTCAGCTCCGTCGCCTCTCACCCTCGCCCGGCCCTGTGGGTCTCTCAGGACCCGACGCTCGCTCTGTGTGGCCTCCGGAGGGACCGGCTCCCTCCTCCCAGGGTTCTCTGCCTGAGCTCCGCCTGTTCCCCCTTTTACCTCTCCCCAGGTTCCACAGCTCCAAGTCTGGGAAGATTTACCTGCATGACAACATCCGCCTCCTGTTTTCACGCAAGTCCATCGAGATTGACTCCGGGATCCCCTACGAGCTGAAATCCTTCACAGAACTGCCGCGCAACCCCTGCTATTCACCCAGAGCCTGATGAGAGTATCAAGGGGGGGTGTGAGCCATGCCTGGAGGCCGCACGTTGCCTGGACAGGAGGAGAGGCGGGCACGTGGTTGTTGGCAGCTGCCAGCCAGGCACTGGGCTGGAGAGAGAGAGAGAGAGAGAGAGAGAGAATATGTCTGCCACAGCCCCTCCCCAGGAACTGTGGCTCTTAATTTGGGCTGGGGCTGCAGCCAGCCTGGACTATGAAAGCAATGAATCTAAACACAGTCGCTCTGGGGCCTCGTGCACTTTTGCTGGGGCTGGGCTGGGCGGGCACCAGAGAAGAGGGAGCGGAGGCCTCCCCCATGCGCACGCACACACACATATGAAGCAAGGGGGGATGTGTAGAGTTGGGTAGGTGCTGCCTCACAGGGTCTAGCAAAAGATAGTGTCATCAGGGTTAGGGGCCCACCGAGGGCGCTCCGTGTTTGTGTGAGTGCGCGTGAGAGAGGGAAAATGTTGGAACTGGGGGGGGGGACACAAGAGATTTTGTGGGAGTGCAGAATTGAGAGACCTCGAGAGCCACTTGGTGAGGTTTCGGTGGCCTCGTGGGCCGGCTTCTCCTGAGCCGAAGGGGCTCCGATGGGTAGGTGTGGAGAGCGCGTGGCCAATGGGTTTTGGAAGCCGGGGTCTGGCTTCCCCTCTACTTCCCCAAGCCTTGTGAGTCAAGAGGACGTGCGCGTGGCAGGGAGCAGAGTCGCTCAGACCCCCCCACCCCCACCACCACCATTCTCTCATCATCGTCCTGACCTGGACGAGGGAACCCTCTTTCTTCCTGGGATTAGGGAGTATTGTCCACTCCTGCTTCCGGCCCTGATGGTGCAATGTTTGCCCAATACCCCACCCCACCCCACCCCCCAGGCCTCTGTCCGGCAGCCCCAATGCGCCACTGCAGGTGGGGGCTACCACTGGCGGTGGTGTCCCATGGCGAAGACCCATCTGTGTTGCTCCTTGGCCCTCCCCACTGTCCGTTCGCAGAGTGTGACAGAGAAGGGAAAAGCAGGACGGTGGTCTTCTTGGGGAAATCGCAGGTGAGGCTGTCGGGAGGGCCTGGGCCCACCGGCCTTTTTGCTGCTGCTGCTGCCACCGCCGCCTCTGATGTGTGTCTTGTGGCTTGAATCGAGACCACTCTCACCTCCCCAAACTGAAAATGTTAATGGTGCCAAACTTGATGATGATGCCAGGGGTGTGTGGGTCCCATTGAGGGAGGAGTGGGGAAGCAAGCAGAGCAGCGTCTATTTGGGAATTTCAGCATGGAGGTTTCTGTGTAAGTTTTAAAGCACTAGGGGCGGGGGGGGGATGTCATAAAGACTGCCTTTGCAATAACTCTTAAGGCTGCTTTTGCTCCCTCCGTCTCCTAGCCTGCTGGCAATGGGGAAGGCCCACAGGGATACTTTGCACTGTTCCAGAGATTAAGGGGGACGGTTGGTATGGCTGCCACAGCCTTTGAAGGTCTCCCCCACCCCCAAGAGGAACCGTCAGGACCTCTCCTCCTCCTCCTCCTCCTCCTGTCCTGTCCTGGTTGGGGGCTGCATTTCTCAAGTTCTCCTAAGGGGTGAGGCAGACGTGGGACAACCATTGTAGATGACACTTGAAAATATTTATATTTAAGAAAAGGGAGACAGAAAGAGATGTACCTGATACTGTCTGTCTTTTTTTGAAAGAAATGAATTCTATAAATGTGTGTTTGGAAAACAGCGTGCGAGAGTCCCTTTGTGCTTCTGAGAAGGCTTCACCCTGCCCCTCATGGTACGTTGCAGAGTTGGTCCCTTGAAGAGCAGGAACACCCCCCCCCCGAGGCTGAACAGCCCAGCTGCGAGCGGGGACCCTTCCCGTCTCCACGGAAGGAACCCCTCCTGTCCCCACTCGCTGGAACGCGCCTGCTCGGACGAGCAGCCCAGAAGCCCTGCGGGGTCTACACAGCTTCCCCCTTTATGGGAATGATCTATTTTTAATTATGCCTTTCCCCCTCTACCTATAAGGCACTCAGGCGTTTTACAAGATTTAAAAATAAGTATTTAAAACATACAAACTGTTAAAATGATTAAATGAAGAACAATTAAAGCCTATCGAAATGTATATACCTATTAAAACACGGAAACTGCCACCCACGATCCCTTAAGAGCCAAAGGCCTGCTTTTAAAAATAGATGTTTGGGTCTCCCAAGGGAAGGGCATCCAAGGGAGCAAACAGCCTTTCTATCTCCTCTGGGACGCAGAGCCTCTCTCTCTCTCACACACACACACACAGACAGACAAAAAGCCCTTTTTATGTCCTCCGTCAACAGATGACTCTGTGGTTGGCCTGAAAGAAAGGGTCTCCATCCCCCCCCCCCACAGAAGATCTGGACCCTCTTGTGATGATTGACGGAGGGAGGCGGGGGGGGGAGGAGGAGGAGGAAGAGGGGTGGGGGGGTGTTAAAGACCTGCTTTGGCAAAAGGCCGGTCGGTCGAGAGGCCTTTGGGAAGAGGAAGGGCCGGCAGGGAAGGGCGATTCTCACGCCAGATCCGACCCTTCCTCTCTCTTTCCCCCTCCCCCTTTCCCTGCCTGAGCCTGAGCCGACGGCTCGCCTTCATGCCTGCCTGCCTGCCTGCCAGGAGGGGCTCTTTTTAACGCTTCCTCCTCTTTTGCGGAGAAAGGGCCTCTCTTCCCCCCCCCAACTTCTCCTCTCCTCCCAACGGGCTTTCCGGAGGCCCTTCCACGCCGGTCAGCGGGAGGGGCAGCTTTGGGGAGAAGGTCGAAGGCTCCCCGGTCCCGCGGGGC